GGGGTTTAGCATGTTTCTATCTACAGGAATGATGTGGGACATTGTTTCGGGTATTGATGGTTTACCGTAGTTGGTTTCATATAGCACACACCTCTTCATCCCTCAAGACATCTTGTCAAATAGTTATTAAATTACAAAAAGGATTAGCTTTCCTCTGTGTCGTTGAATTATTGTAGTTATGCATGGAATGGCAGGAAGGCATTAGGCCTGGGAACAAAGGGCAGTCTCGCTGAGAAAGACTTCTGGACTTAATTGTGGACTATTTTGGGATCTCCTTCACACATGATTTTTAATTAAAAATACTTTCAAAGGGAGACTGACTGGTTTTTTTAAGGTCCCAAAGGTGTGGTTTTGTAAAACCTTTTCCACAGGAATTGTTATGAAATCGAAGGGAAAAGGAGGAGGGAAATCACTGAGAGACATTTTTTTGTTCTGTTTTAAAACTTCCTCTACTGTGTTTGCTGTCCACATTTCTGAATTGCATCCAATAGTCCTTCTTTGGAAAACATTAATAGTAAGATTTTGAATTTATTTTAGAGTATGCTTCACACACACACACACACACACACACACACACACACGCAGAGTTATCTTGTAAGTGGTGTATGTTTTTCTTTGACGATTCAAATGCTACTGAAGTGGGAGAACCAGTTATAGAAATGCTGCAATATATATGGATTGCAGGCATACTGTGTGTGTGTGTGTATATATATATATATATATATGCCTTACAATTATCTTTGACATAATTACTTTAACTTTGCTATCTGCTTACATCTTAATGTTTAACCAAAACGATTCACAAAAGACTGCAGAAAACCAAAGAGATAAGACTTTCCAAAATAAGCGTTGGTAAAGTATAATGGATAGTAATGCATAAATGATGGTAAAGTAATTTGGATTGCTTTGAATTATTGTAGAGATAATCGTCTAAGTTATAGTTAGTTTAATTTTTAGAAGTTGTTATAATGTTAACCTGCTAGTGTCCTGTTACCGTGTTTTGAACCTGCAAAAGGCTCAAGCATATGCTAAATTTCAGACATATAAGTAGGCCCTGACTTTGCTGATCCTGCTCAGGTGTCTGAAGTCAAGTATGTGCATAAATAAATTGGCGGGTCAGAGTGTAGAGGCTTTGATCTGTAATACACAGTGAGCACATCTACACAACATGCTTACTGTGGAGGTGCTTAATAAGCTCCGCTGTCAAGTCTTTGTGTCTTCACGTGCGGCTCTATTAGGTTGCAGTACGCTGCTGTATTTACAAGTACTGTCCTGCAGTGGTGTTATTTACCGCGTAGCAATGCACATGTCGATGCTGACAGGGATGCTGGCCCCCTCCTTCCCCAGCCAGCACCTCCACAGCATGTTGAGTTGGGCCAGAGCAGCCCTGAGCTGGCAGGCTGGCCCCTGCCCTGGACCACCTGCCACCTGGGGCTGATCTGCTTGGCTCAGCATACTGCAGATCTGAGCGCACGTGTAAACACGGTGCCCAGGAGCAAAAAAACTCCGGCAAAATATGCACTGGAGTTTATTGCTTTGCATTAATTGCAAATGTAGATGCATGCAGTGTGACTCGTCATCAGAGTAGGTACTGGATGCATTTGGTGTATTTGAGTTGGTTTTTCTGGACATCACTGAATCTTGGTCTTACTTTTAGGCAAGTCACTTAAAGATAGTTTTACCCACCCAATTGGGTAGAGATGTTACGTATTCTGAGTTTTTTCCTCTCCCTCTTCTTTTTTCAGGGATATTTTTCCCTTAAAAACTCTTAGCTCCTACTTATTTTCCAAGTCACAGTTCAGGAACTGGGACATAGTGCCTGCCCAAGGATACTTCAGAAGTTCATTGTTGAATATTTTTGAATAATTATTTAGGTTGATAGAAGTATTAATGAGGGCACCTGTGCAGGTGTTCAGGGTGGCTTTGATATAACTGCAACATATGGCACAGAAAAGTTCAGTGGTATGTATTTATATAACCCACAACCACCAACACAGGGAACTTTAGCGTTCACATTTTTTCTCTTCCCATCAATTTCCCACCATTAGGGCTCATGTGGCAGACCTCCTGTTTTCCACAAGTGTTTCATAATGTCTGGTAGGTCCTCAGATTTGATCTATTTTTGGCCTCCAGTAAGAAAGCTAAATCTAAAGCAGTAGTTTCTCCAGAGGGAGGGATAGAGAGAGATTGAATACCCAACCAGCAGCCTCTTCTTTATATTACTTGGACTTGCAGATTGAAGAATCTCAGCCAGATTCAACTGTGGGAGCATGGTATAGGGAGACAACTCTCTTTCAGATAGACAGGTCCATAGATAGCTAGGACTATAGTCCAAAATCATTTTAAACTTCATGTGTACATCCATAGGCAACTAGTGTAAGTCATGAAGCACTGGTGAAATATGTTCCCATAGAGATATCCCACCTACCATATTTCCTATCATATGCTTAGCATCAGCATTGGTTTCTGGAGAGTGTTATTATTTCACTCCATGCGGGTGCATTGCTAAGCTCAGCTCATGGGTTGACAAAAGGAGATGACAATCGTGAGTTTGACTTCTGAAAGAAACATGCTTACCGCCAAATGGCACATATAAAATTAAAAGCTGGCCTGACCATTGCCATTATCTGTTGTTCTGATAAGAGCGGGGAGGCCAAACTGTGACATTGTGAACCCCTGGTAGACATGCCGCCTCCATCCAAAGGCAGATAGACATCATTCTTGCTATATCTTCCACTTGCTTTTTTCAGCTCACATCACCTCCATCTTATCTGGGATGAGTAGCTGCTAAAAGAATATATATTAAAACCTCTTTAATAGGTTTTAAGCAGGCAATTCACAAACAGAAGCTAAATTCAGCCAATGACTCGTCCTTTCTGAAGACCGGCTTCTGCCACGATAGCAATTACAAGAGGCAAGGGTTTTTTTTTTTATGGTATCTTTTATTAGACCAACTGTATAGCTTTCCCAAATATAAAATTGGTTCAATAAAAGATATCACAAAAAACCCTTGCCTCTTTGTACATGTCCTGGTCCATCACAGTTACAGCACTCTACCCCTACTAAAATGAATTAGCCAATGATGAATAGATAGGGTGAGGAGCACTTGGAAAAAAGGCTGACGTTCATTTTCCTCCCATTCCTTTATTTGTGGCTTGTTGTCTTAGGTTGTACAGACTTTGGGACTGACCTATAATAAAAGGTACTATGGATGGGAGGGTTGCAAACAAACATCCTCATTGCCCAGCCCCAGGCACATGACACACATTGAGGTCATAACATGCCATTCCTCTGTCACTTCCCCAGTTCTTTGTTTTTGCAGTGCCTTCTGGCTTTCTAATCACTTTGATGGGAATTATTCCTTCCTTTCCTTTGGAATCTGGTTTGTTCGAGGGGGTAGATTTTAGGCTGGATATCGTACAAATAATTTACATCTATATTTCTGAGGCTGTTGTGCCTGCCCAGAGTCCTGTTAGGAGTCAATAGCTCTTTAGATATGTGCAAAGCTGTGCTCTTGAAGAGCAGCTGGTAGGGCTTGACTCTGCACTCTTCAGCTTGGGGTCGATGTGCATTTTGTTGGGTATTTAATGTCACAAGACCTTTCTGCGGTTAGGGCACAGGGTCACTGGATGCTTCGCGTCTGGAGTACTTGTCTAGTCCGTCACGGTGTTGGTGTTTCAAGGTTAGCTTTCATCTTGTACTTTAGGAAGTTAGCGTGTAGGGTTTACATTTTTAGGGTGGTGTTTTTGGGTGGCAAGGTTTGTATTTGGGGATGTCACCGAGCACAGGGTGCTGTTACTCACGGGGGTGTGGGCAGCAGCAAGGCAGCCTGCAGCTGGCTGCAAACCTAATTAGGCAGAGCTGCCTGATTGGGGAACAGGGCCCAGCTGGGCCTTAGAAGAGCTGGGCCCTGAACAGAGACACCACCGGCTGAGCGGCTGCTCAGAACGCCTTGGAGGCAAGGGTAGGGGCTACGGGGATGGCTGGAGCTCCTTGTCCTGGGAATGACAGAAAACTGCACCCTGCTGGGGACGGATGGCCTGGTGGGACTGCTCGTGATGGGGTAGCTCCTTCGAAACGCCAGGCCAGTTGCCTCCCCAGGGAAAGGTGAGTCGGGGTGCCTTATAACCCCAGCCCCGACATGCTTGGTGGGTACTAAGACCAAGCAGGGGGAGCCCAGACTCACGGTGAGCTCTGAGGCAGGGCCCAGGTCAGGTGGAGGGCCCTGGAGCAGTGCCCAGACTCACCCTGACTACTGAGGTTGCAATAAGGATCTGTGTGTGGCTCCAGTGGGGCAGGGTCTTGAGCCTCGGGGAGCTATGACAGAAGCTCCTGGGGCAAAGAGGCCAGGGTTATAGCCTAGGGAGGGCAGGGGGGACAGGGCTTGGAGCCCAGAGACGATTTACTAGACGCATAATAAGGCCAGGTGTTAGGCCATGCAACGTCTGCGAGGCATGGGACACGGTAAGGGCTGGTCAGAGCTGTGTATATAGGCCCTAGCCATTGGGGCGAGTAAAAGGGCCTGATTCACATCTAATCGTTAACATCAAGGCATGGCAGGCGAGGCAAGCGGCCGGCTAGCCCTAACACAAGGGGGCGAGCCAACGGTGACACCAGCCCCAGGACGTCCCCTTGTTACAGGGGAGAAACGAAGGCTTGCCCAGGATGTGTATTTTGGGGACCGATTGTGTGTTACGCTGTGTTTAGTTGCGTTCGTCTCGTCCGCACCCGCGCAAGCCCTCACCAGAGGAGCCATTGTGTCGGGGTGACTTGCCGCTTCGAGGGTTGCACGGGGCTGGGCGAGGGGTTGGAGCG